ACCTTTTATAGCTTATAACAAAAGAAACTATCTCTCCTTTTTCTTGTTTGGTGGTCTGCACAAAAGCAGTTCAACATACTAGAACCCATCTCTGGGATAAAACTAAAACACCACCCACCCCTCCCTCGCACCCGCCTCAAACTGATATAAAAATATATTAAAAAAAAATGTTAATGCCAATTTTACTTACCAAAAGCCACAGTCAGTCGTGTATCCAGGGTATGGCATGTATGGCACATGCCCCGGGTGCTACTTGAAGGGGGGGCACCACTCCGTGGGTCAGCAAAAGTTCGCCGACCCATGGAGACAGTAGAATTTCCTTCTCTTCCCACCCCTCTCCCATACACATCTTCCCACCGGGCTCTTAGAAACCAGGGACACTCTGGCCGGTTTCTCGCCCAGCTACTTGCAACCAGTGATGTCAGTGGTTGCCAGGAGCTGGGTGGAACGCCAGCCAGAGTGTACTAGGTTGATAAGAGCTGGCAGTGAGATGTGTAAGGGACATACACATCTCCCTACCCAGCTCTTAGTAACCAGAGCAGATAGGGAGATGTGTATGGGAGCAGGATGTTGGGCAGGATGTCCCAGGTTGCTAAGAGCTGGTTGGGGAGATGTGTATGGCCCTTACACATCTCCCCACCAGCTCTTATCAACCTAGTACACTCTGGCTGGAGTTCCACCCAGCTCCTGGCAACCACTGACATCACTGGTTGCCAGTAGCTGGGCGGGGCACCGACCAGAGCGTCCCTGGTTGCTAAGAGCCCAGTGGGAAGATGTGTATGGGAGAGGGGTGGGAATAGAAGAAAATCCTGCTGTCTCCATGGGTCGGCAAACTTTTGCTGACCCGTAGAGTGGGAACCCCACTGCAAGTGGCGCCCAGGGCATCTGCCATATATGCCATACCATGGATACACTACTGACTGCGGCTTTTGGTAAGTTACTACCTCCACTTATCAACCTAGTATGCTCTGGCTGGCATCCCACCCAGCTCCTGGAAACCACTGATGTCACTGGTTGCCAGGAGCTTTGCGGGACAACAGGGGTACAATCTGTTGTACATATGTCTCTGGCCACAGTTACACGACCCTGCCACAGGACAGCCAATAGAAAGTGTCCACATCATGCAGACAGTGAAGTGGATACTTTCTGTTGGCTGTCCAGAAGCAAGTTCCTCTTAGAATCCAGAAGAGGACTGACGTCCTCTCAGGCGGATGGTAGGGGACCAGCTGGTGAGGAAACATCTGCACAAGATAGGGAAACAAAACCCTGCAGGATGGGTTAGAGGGGGGTGGGAGAGAGAACAAAATTTATTCTGAATGGGCCACTTTCTGGACATAGTTTTTATGAAAACAATCACATGGTGCAGAGCTTACTCAAGATGACATCATCATTTGGTGTACCTAAGGCAACATGATGTTTGAAGTCTTCCTAGCCTATAGGATAGTTTTATTACTGAAATGTATGCTTCTACATACCATGCAGCAACCATAATTCTTTTCTTTGACCGAATACATGATTTGACCATCCATGTTCTTGGTGCCAGCCCTCATTTTTGAAACTCCAGAGGGATCATTTTCCTTTTGTCCTACTTACCCCTCCTCAGCTGTTGTCTGGGATGCTCTAACATTGATGTTTTATTTCTTCTACAGACCCTAGATGGATTTGTGTTTGTCGTTGCTTCAGATGGAAAAATAATGTACATTTCGGAGACAGCTTCAGTACATCTGGGATTGTCTCAGGTAAGTACCCATATTAACAACTGCATGGCATAAGAGCTCACACCACCACAAATGTGATTTTTTTTTTATTTGGGGACGGTGAAAGGGGGGGGGGGGGGGGGGGGGTTATTTTTTTTTT